ATTATATTATTATTATTATTATTATTATTATTATTATTATTACTACTACTACTACTACTACAACTACTACTACTACTATCATCTTCCTTGATGAGGGAGACCAGGAGGGGACAGGGTAGGGCTGGGAGAACAGGGCACAGATGGTAGATTTTTTCCTCCCTTGTTGGAGTTTCACATCTAAAGAACTCAAAGAGTTTTTGCTTTGCCAAATTGGGGTGAGAAAGAAGCTGGCCCACACCCTGATATTTCCTCAAACGCGTTTTTTAAGGGCTCTGCTGAAAATGTACAGCAAGGCCAACGTCTGTTATTCGGTCAAGGACCACAGTTCAGAAGTAATTTAGAGAGGGCAGGGCTGAAACCTACAACATCTTGGCCCAGAGCTAAAATAAAGGGGCTCCGGATTCCCTTTTCTCCTCTTTCCAACAAGGTCTTTGCTCCCGAGCAGCAGGCAGATCAGAGCGGAAAACATCCGTAAAAAGATTAAAACTAAAGTTTCCTGCGAGTTGATATCTTCACGGGTGAAAATGTGTCATTTTGGTTGCAATGCTAGGAAGGGAGCTTGCTGTTGCCATTTTCCAGGATCTTTTTTCAATTTCCCAGTGTAGCCTACAGCGGAAGGACTTCCTGGTGGCCTCCCATCCCAAGGCGAGCCAGGCCTCTGCTTAGTTTTTCAATAAAGTCAGTCTAGCTCTCGAGCTGCACAAAAATGAAGTCTCTTCTGAGTCAAGCTCAACTCACAGTGTCATCCATGTGGTTTTTATCAGCCCTGCGAGGTAGGCCAGGGCAAGAGGCACGGACTGCAGGAATGCTGCTTTATGACAGCAGGGGAGAATAACAGGATCTTGAAAGGCTCTCTGAGTTTCTCCCTGCCTTATACTAAAGAAAATCAAGGCAGGGTTACCCTGAGTTTCTTTCTCACCCTTCCTTCTACCTGGATGGAGCAATCGCTTCTCCAAGTCCCTCCTGAATTTTCCTACCAAGCTAAGCTCTAAAGTTTTCTTCCGGAAATGTTCTTCAGTTTCCTTGTCCTGCTGGTCTCCCCTCCAAGTAATAACCACACCCAACCCTGCTTAGCTTCCAGAGCTAGACAAGGTCTTCCAGGCGCTGCCACCTTCCCAAATGTTTGAAATGTGTAAAATCAGCCAAAGGTCCCCCATTCCTCTCTTAACCTTAGGCCACGTTTGCAAGAAATAATGGGAGTTGAAGTCTGTCTACAAAGCCAGCATGGTGCTTTCTAAACCAGCATCTCTTCTGGCAAGGAAGGGGTGCAATGCCCTCTGTTCATGCTCAGAGACACGCTCCACTCCGCTTCGTCCCCAACAGGGCTTTGGGCTGCTCTGAAATTCCAAAAGCAGATCGTGCCCGTCCCACGAAGCCCTTGATGGGGAGCAGAATGCGGACGAGATCCGGGAAGTGCATCCGAGAGATGAACGGAGGTTTGGTCTCCATGGTAACCAGGGGAAGACGGTCCATGGCATCTGCCGATGGAATCCCCCCCGGGAAACAGGAGTTGGATCTCCTGCTGCCGCGTTGCCCTCAAAGTAGGGCGTCTGCTCCGGTCCCGTCAGAAAACGGTGCGTTATAAGTGTCAGAATATTTAATAGTTTTATTTAAATGCAGCGTCTGTGTATGGCCCTTTTGCATTCAGAAAGAAGTCGGCGTCCCTTAAATTAAGGAAGGGCTCCCAGGAACTGAAAATCCCCAAGCAAAGGGGGTAGGAGGAAAACTAGGGAGTTTCCACCCCAGAATTGTGCAAAGCCATTTCCGATCACCATTTCTGCTTCTTCTGCTTTGTCCTCTCGCTGCTCGCAAGGGGTTAAGGAGGGGGCGAGCAAAGCATGCCCCATTTGAAACGCCCCATGTCCAACTATGGTTTTGCCTTAAAAAAAAAAATCCTCCAAAAATGAGAAAAGCAGGAGAAATATTTTCATCCCACCCACCCGGCGGGATTGCTGTACGCTCAGCCTCCGGAGGGCTCCCTAAAGCGAAACTTTAAAATACGGGATTTGTTTCTATTCACATCCCTTCGCTGCAAACCAGGCTGAATTTCAGAAAGTTCTTAACCCGTTTCTATGAGATGTGAAACTCCAAGCCCCAGTTCAGTTCGCAGAGGCAAAATCGAAACAAGAGAGAGAGCAATTTTAGAGGCCAAGCTATGGAGGAACTGGGGAATTCCAGGTTTTCCAAAAACAAGCAGGATCTGTCCAATGCCGGAAAGTTTGTGCAAATGCAGATAGAGCTTTCAAGCTTCAGTTAACTGAAATGGGCGTAAGATTCATGAGACTGAAAAGAGTCGTTTTTGACAGCCTGCAATACCCCATTGTGAGTTAGTTCAACCGGGCAAGATAAACCTACGGAAATAAGGCGTTAGTAACGGAACAGCATGCCTTTGAGGAAAAAGCCATTAAGACAGAATTAGTTCAAGGGGTGGGAAGATCTGGGACAGGGAAGATCTGGGCGGCAGCTGGCTTGGCTTTGTTAATTTTATTTGTAAAAGGAGAATTGATTTATTTAAACAGAAACCACACTTACCAAAGGTATCTGAAGGTAACAAAATGAAAAGGAAACAGAAAAAAAAAATATGAAGGAGACGGTTGTTATAAGCCAGTTACTTTAAAAGGAAAGTACAACGAAAAATGAAAAACACATACATAAAATACATACCACAGAATGGGTAGAAACACAGACTGTATTATAACAGGAGTTTAGACAACAATTCCCCAAGCTGTTAGCTGGGTTGAGTTTTGAAGGCACGTTTTACACTTGCTTCTGAAAAGCTCTGGATCCAAGATGTGCAAAACGCACAGAACGGTTGCTCTGAGTTGGAAAGAGGCTGCTCCAACCGTTTGGGACACGGGAAACGGGCCACGTTTGAACTCAAAACCCTTCTGGCGTGGCTGAAGCAAGCCATCTGGAGCCCGAAACGGGTTTCGAACTCAAACTGGGTCGCTTGGAGCTCAAAGCGTTTCACATTCGCAATGCTCCTTTGATAGGAGTCTCCGTAAAAGGAGGACGGGGGGGCCGGGGACTCATGGAGAGATGCAACGGGAAGCATCCTCTAAAAATGAATCTTTGGGGCTCACGTGGCGATTTTGTTATGGAATATGCATTTTTCTCACTCTCTCCCTCCGTGCTAATGGTTCTCCCGTGGAGCGGTTTGCAAAGGGATGGATTTATGAGATGCAAAAATTCACTCCGTAATAGCTTTAGGTTTTTCGTTTTCTTCTTCCCAAGTCTGCCTACGAAGAATAAAATCCTTAAAGCTTCCCATCGAGCAGCAGGGAGACATCACTCCCTTCAGAAATGCAAACAGTCATTGCTTCACAGAACCAGTCTTGGAAAGACCTTTTTTCTAAAGCCATCTTGGAGAAGCTCTCAAAATAATCCTTCACCTCCACCGCCGTTTTGAAAAACATGAACAAAAACAGTCCTGACCCACAACTACCAAGTGCCCGGGGTCACTGGAGGGTCCCTTTTGATGACTGGGGTGTGTGTGTTGGATGGCTAGTGGCTGTTGCTTTATTTTCCCACAATGCCCCAAGGCTGCCCTTCAGGGGGGCATTGTGGGAAATTAAAATGGAAGCCAGATATGACTTCCAGCTGCAGCCGAGAGCAATGGCAATGTAAACATGAAATTAAATATTGATATCCGGGCTTTTTAAAGGTTTCAAAGTATGGAGTTTAATCCGTTCCGCTTCTCATGTTGTTTTTGAGGATTCTCACTGGAGCTCTGTGAGTGACCTTCAGCCATTTAAGGAGTACAGGTAGTCCTCACTTAGCAACTACAATTGGAACCGGCAACTCTGTTGCTAAGCATCACGGTCACTAAGTGAAACATCATGTGACCGCCACAGGGTTATGACCTCACTACCACTTTGGTCGTTAAGTGAATCACCCCAGCTGTTAAGTGCGACGTCACGTGACTGCGACTTGCAATTTTACCGCTGGCTTCTCCATTGACTGCTTGTTGGAAGCCAGTTGCGAAGTACACGAATGGTGATCATGTGACTGCGGGACTGTGACTTTGTAAATGTGAGGACTGGTTGCAAAGCTGTTTTATTTTTCAACCGTTGTAATGTCAAATGGTCACTAAGCGAGGACTACCTGTAAAGTGAAGCACAGCTTTCTTTGAGCCAAGCTCAACTCCTCGTAACCATATTGACAGACCTATGGAGGCTCCTTGGCTATAAAATGGAAGCGAGTTGTCATCCTCTTCTAAGATGATTTTTCAATTTTCCAATCTAGCCTGCAACCCAGGTCTTTTCTGGTGGTGACCCTTCTAAGCCTTAAGCCAGCCTGATCTTCACCTGTTGAGATCAGCAAGGTGCTGATCCCTGGCTGTGTGTTAAGAGAGTGGGTGGTGTGCAATGCTTCTAAATAAAGGAAGCAATAAAAAGGGACTCGTTCTAGATTTCATAGCACAGAATTTGGTCTCCGGCAGCTGATGAAGGACCCTGGCTCCTGCCATTCACCCTTGTCTCATTCCTTTTACTTTGCGCAATTGTGCAAATACTGTAAGCAACCTCATTTAAACCACCACAACTTTAGCGCTGCTTAATAGCAAAGACTTTTAAAAGTCAAGATCAGCTCCTGGTGATTTCATGGACACATCCAGGTTGTTTCTGTGGCCACCATAGGCTGTGCCATCCTGGTGGTCTCCCATCCAAGGACCACCAAGCCTGACCCAGCTTAGCTTCCAAGCCCAGGCAATCTCAACCGGGCAATGCCACTTCATCTGGTTTATGACCTCCGACTGCAGCCATGGCAAGATAGAGACATCAGACGTACATTGAAACGCTGTTTTTTTCTAATTCAGCAACATCTAACAGGTAACAGCAGACTGCATGCATGCCTTCCAAATATATTGGGCTATCATTCCTGAAATTCCAACATCCCTGACTCAGGTTATTCTCAGCTGCAAACTACAGAAGTTCTGTCTTTGCATCTGGAACCTTTTTGCAAGCAGATGGAGGTCTGGCCTACTAAGTCACTTAACCTTCTCTTAAGCTCAAGCAACATTTTAGCCTGAAAAAAGGGGAAATTTAAACAGGAATGTCGGAAGCTGCTCCCGGCCGAGTTGAACCGTTCGTTCACACGGTTTAGAATGGCCTGGAAGTGAGTGTGAGCCTTTGGCAGACAGCGAAGGAACGGGCCTTTTTGAAAAATGGAGCAATTTGCCCCAACCGACATATCGGAGTTTCTTGGAGAAGGTGGAAAAAACACGCTTTCCTGGACCTGAACTCCTTTCACACACTTGCTGGACTCACAGGGCAGACCGGGCTGAGTTCAAAATGCCGGAGGAGGAGTTGGACAGTGTGGAGAACGGCGTGGGCGGGAGGAATAAATGATTCCCCTCAAGCCACCATCGAAAGCAACCCACGGATTTTGTACCAGGCAAGAAGGAGGACACCAATTAGCTGTTGACAACTTTCCAGAAATCCCAAGAGTCAAAGTTGTCAAGGCAGGGGTGGAAGGGATGGCAGGCTGCTGCTTTGAGGGAGGGGTGGTTCAAAATGGCATTTCCTAAACCAGCGTTTCTCAACCTTGGCAGCTTTAAGACAGGTGGAAGGTTGAAGTCCATCTGTCTTAAAGTTGCCAAGGTTGAGAAACACTGTCCTAAACCGAGAAGAACCTCACAACCCCAGATCTTCCTTCTCTCTCCCTTGTTCCTGCAGCATAAAGAGCCCCCTCCCCATCTTTCGGATCTTTGCTTAAGCTAAGCTGGGAACGCTGTTCTCGGAAGAAGCCTGCACAATTGCATCTTGGGGCTGGTTCACACCAGCACCACAATCCCACTGATCCACCTTCTGCATTTTTTCATACCACTAGTATAAACAGCCCTGGAGAACTGTCTGACTTCCTAGATCTATCTCCCTGCCCTTCCCTTCCCTTCCCTTCCCTTCCCTTCCCTTCCCTTCCCTTCCCTTCCCTTC